CACAGTAAGTGTCAGTGGCATCAATTATCAGTTCATTAATAAACATCATTAGAAGAGCTGTTAGACAAAAACTTTTGAGGTGTTTTAATTAAAACAAAAATAACAATGTAACAGAAAATATTCAAACTAGACAAATATAATTCATACTAAATCTATACAAACAGACCAAAAGAAACTGGAGTGCAAATTATATATATATACAAAAAAATATATATAATTAAAGGCACATACTTACCATCTGCTGGAATAGTTACATTGTATTGCACAGTTATGAACAAAACTGCTACCTTTGATGTAATCTACGTGGAAAGAAATATAAAAATGCAGTCAATACACAAATAAATAAAGGAACAGTTCATCTCAAAATGGAAAATCTGTCATTAGAGAATTGCAGGCAGACTCTCACCATTCACTTGCATTGTATGCAAAATAAGGTTTACAACGCAAATGAATGGTGTTAGAATAACATAATAATAGAATAATAAGCCATGCAGATTTTAAGCAACATGAGGGTAAGTAAATTACACATTTTTTTCTTTAAAGTGAATATGACTATGAGGTACATAAAGCAATTACAATCAGTTTCTCATCAAACACAAATTTGATAGATAGTATAATTTATAGAGGAGTATACAATCCTTTACTTAAATCTGGTTAGAAATGGCCATTAAGAGCAAAAAATCTGTTCCAGTAGTGTAAACTTCATTTCCCATGATGCATCAGCACTGACGCTGATATTTCGCCAACTATCGTCCAAATCTAACGGTTGTGCAAACTCGCATTCCTAACGAGTACTGAGAGAGTCAAATCATTAGGTTACTGTCAGTAAAAGCATTTTGGTGGCACAAATCGTGACCCTGCTGTCGCTGTGCACCGGTGACAGCGCTCACTCATTCTCCGATTGCCACGTAACACTTCATTTGCGCGTAAAAGTATCAGTGCAGCTACAATGTTACGTAATCATCTTTACAAATCAATTCTGTTATTCCGTTCAACACTCCTTTAAATGTAATAAATTCGCGCACGTGCTTTTTTTTTTAAACTTCCTTTAATCGCTTCATAGGGAATTCCTCTCTCGCTCTCATGCATCATGTCTCTGTGAATCAAAATTCCCAACTATTTGAATGCAATCGGCAATTAGCGCATGCGCTTGAGAGTAAAACCTGCGCTAAAATAATTTTTTATATGAATCATAAATATGCAAACGGATTTAAAAATGCTGCACATTAAAGGCAAAACCAAAAAGTAGCCCAACAGTCCTATCTGCAGTTAAAGGAAGTGAAAGGGACGAGACTATGACAGAACACGAAAGATGCGTTATATTGCTTATAGAAACTGGGGGGGATATAAACACTGATTAGGCTGATTTGTCATCTTTGATTTCAAACTGATTTTAAATCTGTAAGAGTGAATGAATTAATTCAAAAGTGGATTCTTACCTCAAACATAAGACCCAGCAGAAACACCATAGCAACACAAGACACAATATCCGCGTGGTTCTGGATCACAAACTCGTGGCTGAGCACCGGTGGGTTCTTGCTGCTCTTTTTTCGGATTCCCATCTTGGCGGATGTTGAGAGAACTTTTGTTGAGTGGGAGTGAGGAACACGTCTTCACTATTGTTATCCGGCAGGGACTTGAGTCTTAACGCCTACTTCTGTCTTTCTTCTTCCAACCCCTTTTTTCAATTTAAGGCACGTTGTACAGTGACAAAAGATGCAGTAGCGCCATCTGTTGGACTGGAGTAAATGAGACGTTTTATTCATTTGAAAGGGTTAGTTCACCCAAAAATGAAAATTCTGTCATTAATTACTCAGCCTCATGTCGTTTCAACCCCGTAAGACCTTCGTTCATCTTCGGAACACAAATTAAGATATTTTTGATGGAATCTGAGAGCTGTCTGACCCTGCATAGACAGCAATACAACTGAAATGTTCCCAAGTCCAGAAACGTAGCAAGGAGATCTGTAAAATAATCCATGTGACATCAGTGGTTCAACCGTAATTTTACAAAGCTACGAGAATACTTTTTGTGGCAAAAAGTGACTTTATTCAACAATTCGTCTCCGCCGCGTCACCCTGTAGCGCCATTTTGGAGAGTATCTGCTGGACATAAACAGCGTATGCTGTTCTGTTTCAGCCGCACCACACGGATACGTTGTTTTCGTTCAGATCAAATCACAACAACGTAGGAAACCGGCGTGACGCAGCTGACACAGAACAGCATACATCGTTTATGTCCAGCGGATACTCTCCAAAATGGCGCAACAGGGTGACACAGCTCTCAGATTCCATCAAAAATATCTTAATTTGTGTTCCGAAGATGAACGAAGGTCTTACGGGTTTGAAACGACATGAGGGTGAGTAATTAATGACAGAATTTTCATTTTTGGGTGAACTATCCCTTTAATGTCAAAGGCCCTTTTTAGTTTAGAAGGGAGGATACATAGTGAATTAAATGAATAAAAATAAACAGAGATGCATGTAAACAGTAGTTACTAAACGCCATTATTACTAAACAGTAAAATATATAATATGTATTTTTGTATTTACATCTTTGCTTACATTGCAAAGACATTAAAATCGTCATTAATAGTTTAAAAAGTCATATACTTGGGTTATTTTGTAAGAGGGAACATGAAACATTCAGCTGAATGTCAGCTTCTTAACTTTAGCTTTTGTTGAAGTAAACTTAAAATTTACAAACACACACACACACACAATTGTAGGTAATATAATATTATATAATATTAATATACGTGACCATGGACCACAAAACCAGTCATAAGGGTCAATTTTATGAAATTGAGATGTATACATCATCTGAAAGCTGAATAAATAAGCTTTCCATTGATGTATGGTTTGTTAGGATAGGACAATATTTGGCTGAGATACAACTATTTGAAAATCTGGAATCTGAGGGTGCAAAAAAAATAAAAAATATTGAGAAAATCGCCTTTAAAATTGTCCAAATGAAGTTCTTAGCAATGCATATTACTAATCAAAAATGAAGTTTTGATATATTTACAGTAGGAAATTTACAAAATATATTAATGGAACATGATCTTTACTTAATATCCTAATGATTTTTGTCATAAAAGAAAAATTGATAATTTTGACCCATACAATGTTTTTTTGGCTATTGCTAAAAATATACCCAAGCGACTTAAGACTGGTTTTGTGGTCCAGGGTCACATATATGATATCATATTTTATTTATTATGCTACAGGTCAAAAGTTTGTAATAATTAAGACTTAAAAAAAAAAAAAAAGAAGAAGTTGCTTAAGCTCACCAAGGCTGCGTTTATTTGATAAAAAATACAGTAAAAACAGTAATATTGTGAAATATTATTACAATAAAAACTGTTTCCTGATAGGCTGATTATATTTTATTATTCATTCTTTACATAATAATTGTGAATGCCCTGCTAATGTAAGATGGTGTTGTGGTATGTATTCTGAATCAAGTAGTTAAATGTTTCATTCTGTAAAACATGTAAAGCAGCATACCAGGCATTTCCTGTTTCATTTTTTGTTTTTTTGTTCACATTAACAACAGCCAAACACACATAAACACAGCACGTTGCCAGCATGTGGTTAGATGGTAGTTTCAGACTAGGATCTCAGCAATCACCAGAATGCACGGTTATTTCCAAGTCTGAAAGAATAGGAGGGCTGAGGAGATTGAAAATTGTTTTATAATTGTGAGAATGACAAACATTTCTTCTGTATTCAAAGTGTCAGGGAATGAATGATTGCTGTATTTACTCATTGTTCCATCCCCTGCATACTGTATATCCAAAGAAGCATTTGGGTGTGTTTCACATAACACAGTAACTGATTAGTTCAGAAAGGGAGTGGTTTGCTCCGTCATCGGAATTATGAGAAATCATATGGTCTAGAAACCAGAGACTCGTCGTCACTGCTGATCAGAGCAAGAAGAAGAATGGAAACCCTGGTAAGTTCTGAATGTCACTTCTCACAATTTTAACATTTCCTGGCAGTTACTGAGAGTAAATGTAAATTAATATTACACCCGGGAACATTATGAAGTGACAGTTTATGGCTTATCTGAAAACAATAGCATACTGTATGATCTACACATTGCTAACCGCAATATAACGAAGCCTAGCACATGTATTTTGTCCTGATATCAAAGTTTACAACATGAAAATGGTATTTACTTGACTGATGTACTTTTCTTTAAAATAGTACATAACAACATGCTGCACTTATTATGTAAATTGCAAGACAAGCTTATTTTTATAGCACATATCATACACACTGAAAAGTGAAAGTGCTTTGCATAGACATGATAAATAAACAAATAAGTCAGTCAATTGAAAAATAGTTTAAGAACATAAAAAGGACATTTCCTGCCCTCTATGAAAATGTACTTTTAATGGATGGAATAGCCTATGGACAACCAATAAAGTTTTTCTTTAAATGTGACATGTGAATGTTTTTTTTTTTTTGGACTGAAATGAAGGTCAAAATATGTTTTAAATGCTTTTAATAATATGTTTATAGATTTTTTATGTATTTTCAAAAATATACAAAAATGTCCAAAACTATATATATTGGTAGAAAATATATTTATGCAAATACATTTTAGCAAATATATTTTTTGGCTTTTTTTTGTTGTTGTTGTTTTTGGGTGCTGTATGGGGGTGCAAGTGAAAATGTGGGGCTAGTTATTAAATAGGCAGTTGTTTTTGAAAACGTGTGCACATTTTGAACACATCTTACTTACATAATCATTCATCATTCATTGTGCAGTGACTTGTACTGGACAAAGTCCAGGACATAAATAGATAGTAGAAACACATTCAGATAAAATGAAAGTAATGGACACTTAAAGAACTGTATCAATAAGAATTCAAAATATTACAAAATTCAGTTCATTCATTCACTAATGTATGCTGTAAATCATATGTATTTATGTCCGTCTGTTCTGTCATTCAATACAGGTTATCAGTTTTGGATAAAGACATGAGGAGACTGAGTCAACCAGCTGTTCTCGTCTAAAGGCACCAAATGCCTGTCTACATATTCAGCATTAACAAGGACATTCTGCTATCAGTGTTCATCAAATGCCATAATCATAATCATGACAAATACTGGAAAGAGATTTACCTGGTTTCGGTGGCTATGCACTGTTTTTGGACTACTTTTTTATTTAGCAGACATTGGATCAGACTTCTTGTTATCTGTGCAGTATTTCAAAAGTGGACATGTCACCTGGGCTGCACTGACTCTTGTGTTTGTTCTGGTCGGATCTTTATGCATACAGATATTCAGCTATGCATGGTTCAAAGATGACAAGGAAAATTATGAAGAAGATGACAAGGGTCTGTCCACTTGCCATCTTATCAGTATACATGTACTGCAGATAGGCATTTTTACAAGGTAACTTCACGCTAATTTATCATTTAAATCGATTCTTTGTGGCTCTAGTATTTCATATATTAAAATGATTTTTAAAAATCTGTCATCATGTACTCACCCTTATGTCTTTCCAAACCTGTATGACTTTCTTTATTCTGTGGAACACAAAAGATATTTTTCATCCATACAATGAAAGTTAATGGGGTCCAAAACAATTGACTTTTATTGTATAAAAAAAAGCTTTTTTGTGAAATTCATACAGGTTTGGAACTACATAAGGATGAAAAAAATGAAGTCTGAATTGTCATTTTTGTGTGAACTGTGTCTTTTAAACAGGCATTCTCAGCTCTGGCTCTTGAGGTCCAGTTTCCTGCATAATTCAGCTCCAGCCTTGATCAAATTGACCTGCCAGTAATTTTATGGCAATCCTGAAGACCATCAGCTTGTTCAGGTGTATTTGATTAGGGTTGAAGCAAAACTCTGCAGGAAAGTGGACCTCGAGGGCCAGAGTTATGAACCCCTGCTTTAAAATAAGGAGGAAAGCAAATGAAAGTGTAACATCTACACGCTTGGTTGGTCTTCTTTACTCATTAAACTTGTATTATTATTATTTTTTTAATCACACTTGATGCAGACATTTACAACTTAAGTTCATATTTTGACCTATCTGTTATTCTAAGGTATGTCCATCTTCTGAAGAGGAGTTTTAAAGCCCTGCGTTCGGAAGACACTCAAGAGGAGGAGCAGTTCCATCTTTTCGGCCTTGCTACAGATCTTAGCATGCTCCGCATGTTTGAGATGTTCCTGGAGAGCGTTCCTCAGCTCGTTCTGCAGGTCTATATCATACTGGAGCATAACCATCGCTCTAATCTGCAATGTGAGTCCTGCAGATTAGATACAGTCATTACATGCACATCTGCACGTAAATCTAGTCATGGTTTATCATAAGAAAAAGAAATGTGATAAATACACTACCATTAAACAGTTTGGGGTTAGTAGGATTTTTCTTTCTATTTTTAAAGAAATTAATACTTGTATTCAGCATTAAAATGTTAAAATGAGCAAGACTTTTATAACAAAACATGTTATTTCAAATAAATGCTGTTCTTTTAAACTTTCTATTCATCAGAGAATCCTGAAAATATATATCAAGCCTTCCACAAAAATATTAAGCAGCTGTTTACAAAATTGATAATCACAAGAAGTGTTAAGAATGACTTCTGAAGGATCATGTGACAGTGAAGACTGGAGTAATGGCTGCTGAAAATTCTGCATTGCCATCACAGGAATCAGTTACGTTTTATAATATAATATAATATGTTTAAGAAAAACAGTTCATTTAAACTGTAACAATATTTCACAATATTACTGTTTTTACTGTATTTTTATCAAATAACAATATTACTCTGTATTTTTATCAAATAAATACAGCCTTGGTGAGCATAAGAGACTTCTTTGAAAAACATAAAAAATCTTACCATCCCCAAACTTTTGAATGGTATGAGTTTTAATAGGTTTTAAATGATAATAATAGCAGATATTGTATATCAATATAAAATCTAAAAAAGCTTTATTAAAATGTTTTGCTTGAAAGTGTGCTTGTAAAAATGCAGCGACAGTTTTAACTGTGCCTTATGAATTTTTGGGGGCCACTTTGTGCCTAAATATATATATATTTATACAACAGTTTGTTCTGGTTCTCAAATCTGATTGGTTGAGAACCGTGAGATATTGTACTGGTATCGCTACAGGAACGCCCTTTCACAATAAGAGGGTTTTATTAGGTACCGCTCTCGTACTCGAGTGATATTGCTCATATATATATTATTTTGACCAAAAATAAAACTGAATAGTAATTTAACAAAAGTCTCTCTCTCTCTCTCTCTCTCTCTCTTTTTTATAGACATTAGTATGGCCATGTCTTTTCTCACCATAGCCTGGGCCACGGTGGATTATCGTCGCTGTTTTCGGCGCTCTCTACCTAACCTTAAAGAGATGCCTTCTGGAATCCCAACAGCCGTATACTTGTCCTACAAAATATTTACCATAACCCCACGAATCCTCAGCCTCACGCTCTTCATCATGCTCTCCACCTTCAGTACTGTAGCAATGGCCTGCATATGGCTTGTGGGAACCGTCTGGGCATTCGTGGAGGACACCGACTTCTGCACTTCACGAGTCCTTGAATATCTTTATCGAACTATTGTTGGAGTTATTCTCCTTTTTACCTTCTTTAACATTAAAGGAGAAAACGCCAAAGTCCACATGACTGTGTATTACATTTTCAGTGTGGGTCAAAACCTTGCTGCACCCATTTTGTTGTTTCTGCTCAAACCGGAATCAGAAGGGACTGACTACTTCCTGCCCATTATATTTTTTATATTAGTGTCTCATTCAATGGGACTGGGTTTTCTGGGACTCTATTACAGCCTCCTGCACCCTCATCAACCTTGCAGAGAGAAAATCGCAGATGAAATAGATGGAATGGATCAAGTAGATGGGATGAACCACGAGCCAAAAACAACACGTTTTGAGCGTTTCTTGCGAATATAATAGTCTTGCTGATAAACTAATGAACTTGATTAACAAAAAGGTGCATGTTTGGTAACACTTTACTTGAAGGGGTGTGCATAAGACTGACATGACACCTTCATCGTAAAGTGTAACCGCATGTTTATATATATTTATGTTGGAATTGATAAAGGATCTGTGTTTAAACGTTATAACATGTCTGAAAGCTGCTAAGGAAGGTATGATATCTGATTTTACAGCATGTTTATATATATTTATGTTGGAATTGATAAAGGATCTGTGTTTAAACGTTATGACATGTCTGAAAGCTGCTAAGGAAGGTATGATATCTGATTTTACAGGTATGAAATGTTGAACCTTAAAGGTTTCATTGAACCTGTAAAAATGATAAGCTTTCTAATGCCAATTTTTGTATTTCGTTTATTTCACCCTTTCCCAATAGAGCTGTCTAGTTGAATAATGAGAACCTTTTTTTTCCCTAGCAAAAGTGCTTGAATGGCGTATGTTGGGTACCTTCTCAAATATAACTGTTCACAATTGTTTAACATGAAGTGATAATAAGCATTCTAGCTTTAAGTTTGTTAATAAGTTTGGGGTCTTAATATTTATTTATTTTTTATTTTTTTAAATGAAGTGTCTTATGCTCACCAAGGCAGCATTTATTCGATCAAAAATATAAAATACAGTAAAAACAGTCATTTGATAAATGTTAATACAATTTAAAATAACTGTCTATTTATTTATTTCAATATATTTCAAAATGTAATATATGCATATATATATTACTGACCCCAAACTTTTGAACGGTAGCATAATTCCTCAAACCCAGAAATCGTGCCTCTGGTCAGTTTTCTGTTAGTAGTTCAGTCACTACCCCAAAAATAACACAAGATGGCACTGTTGTTCTAAAAAAAAAAACCTTCTGAATAAAGTAAACACTGCCTCATCCAACAGGACATGTTGTTGGCATCATGGAGACTTGTTAAAACATGAGCTGAGATTTAAAGACTGTACTGAACTTGGAATTGTTTTGTATAAAATAATTCTAGCTTTTATGTAATAAAGTAATTATATTTTTATTTGGCTGACGTCTGATACCAGGCAAAAACAAAACAGCAGGCTACAAAAGCATTTATTTCTACATAAATTCTACAAATACTCAATAAAAAAAAAACAAGCTAATCACAGTTAATTTATTGCAACATTAGTTTAAAAATGTATTTGTCCTAATATGTATGTCTGACTAAAGCAGAAAGATATGTGAACTTTGACCCTCACAATCTCTGAGTCTATAGACCAAGAAAGGCTGAGAGATCATGCAGATTACCTGTTTCAGAGCTAATTGAAAGATAATAAACCAATCCAATTCTGTTTTGACTACCGGCAAAATATTGTGCAAGCCAGTGGAGTGAGGCAGGATTGAAAGAAGAAGAAAAAAGAGCTAAGATAAAGAGAGAGAGGATTAAAATAGAGAAGCGGTCACAGCATTTCCTCAGTGTGCCGTTCAGTGAACATCTGTGCTGAGGCGGTGAGCTCACCATGCAAACAGACTGCAGATTTATTCAACAGTAGTAGCCTTTCAAATAAACACGAGTACTGCTCTGCAGGCTGCAGGCCTTCTTTGATTTTCTCATGTATACATACACACACTAAAAAATTTCAAGCCGTTTCAACTAATTATTATTTAGTTCCACAGAAATTTTACATTCAGTCAATTTCTGTCTTCAAAGTGTTGCCTAAATTGTTATTTTTTAGTTGGCTCAACCTTTACTGAAATAGTTTTATAGTCCATTCAACTAAAAGTATTTAATTGGTCAAACATTTAGAAAACTACAGCAAATTGTGTCAATTAAAATTTAACCATTCACTCCATGTGTTTCATATGTTACCTCAACTAAGATTTATTATTTGGGCATTCTAAGAATTTGCTGTATAACTAGTTATTATATTTTATATTGAGTTTAAGAATTATTACCTGGTGTCTATCAATCACTAAAACACACACATTACAACACATAATAGCCTTTATTTAATAACAATCTGCATTTATAACATTTGTCATACAGACTAAACATGCAGGCTTAAAGGGATAGTTCACCCAAAAATGAAAATTTGCTGTTAATTGACTTGAGATTGTGTCAAAGCAGCTTTACAGTATTAAACCGAAAAATCATGTGTTGAAGGAACCAAAACTCCATCGTTCTTCTCTGGCCAGACGAATCCAGCAGTTTAATTCCAGACTGCAATACAGGTCAGATTGAGCAGAGGACTGGTCTGGTTCTTGTGGTCTTGTGGTCTTGTCCCGATGGCTGTCTAAGTGACGAGGTCTTCAGAGGGCATCTGTCTCTGGGGCTCATCTAGTTGTCCTGGTCTCCGCTGACATTCAGGGCTGTAGAGGGCGTCTCTAGGTGCTGATCCACCATCTGATCTGGATACAGACGATCTGGTTGCTACGGTGACCTCGGAATAAGAATGAGACAGTCTAAATGTTAGCGTTGATGCCACTGAGAACAATAAAGCACATTTTAATTGTAGTAAACACTCTAAACTTTTACACATATTACCTTAAGTCTTAGTGTTGAAAGTACACACACACACACACTCTATGTAGTTGCAGTGGAGCAGTCTGGTCACATGGCAGTGTTTGGGGCCTTGGAAGAAGTGACTGGCCAGCATCTGAAAACTTGCAATGATGAGAAAGCACCAATGAACCTTTGGCCACACCCTGATGGAGAAATAAAGTACAATTTATCTCAAGAAATGTAATTATGCCTTTTAAATCATTTAACATGTAATACCAGTTAATTAAATTTGTGATGAAACAGAAGTTAAAACCATTTTTTTTTTTTGGCACACAAAAAATCTCAATCCATCGCACAACACAGGGAGCATTGATGCTGACTGTTCATTAGTTGCAAGGATTTGTAACAGAACATGCACATTTCATATTATAAGAATACCTTAAACAGCATTAAAATAATATCAAAATATCCCTGCCTGTTGTTGATAAATACCAGTGGTGACGTTTTACAAATTGATTGATCAATTGTCTCAATGTTTACTAAGCCATGGTCTCTTTACCAGTGCAGGGACTCGTGTGCACGATCTAGTGATTGACTAACGTTACCTAGGGAACTGACTGAGACGCAGTCTGCTTTGATAACGGTCTTGTGAAAGGATTCAGTTGTTTATTCTCGTTCGGAACGACGAACTCCTCTCCGAAGCGCCTTCACGAGACCAGAAACGCCGTGTAATCCGCCCCGTTTGAAAAGAGCCTGGTTGTTAGTCACGTTTAATGTCGACTTTTAACTTCACGGGACAATTCCAAAAGTTTGCACACGCAAAAATCCATTCAACACGCCCATGTTAACTTCAAATAAGCGTATTACTGTGGTTTACATTACACGTTACACGTTTCGTCGTAGTAAGCATTGGCTTATAAAAGAGAGACCACGCGATCTCTTCATATCTTTTAACGTAAAAGAAACACAAAAATATCATACAACACGCCAAAATTAAACCTGAAATTCATTATAGTAACACAGCTTTTGACATTAAGTGTTTTATGGATTAAACGAGAAGACCACGTTCCCTTCACTTAAACAGCTAAGTTAATTTCCCTCAGACATATTCATACAACGCTTATTCGATGTTTTTATATATGTTGTACGTTTGTGTATAAATACATACGTTTTAAATAATACACACCTTTTTTTTAATTTACAAGTATTGATAAATTCAGTCTAAGTACAAATTCAGTTCCACTTACCTGACGTGTGAACTTGACATACATTTAACCAGAGGCGGACAAAGTAGGCCTACTCAACTCCATTACTTGAGTGAAAGTACAGATACTGCTGGTCAAATATTACTCCATTACAAGTAAAAGTTGTAAAGACAGATTTTTACTTAAGTAAAAGTACAGAAGTACTTGCTTTTAAAAGTACTTAAGTACCAAAAGTAAATTTCCTTTTTTATGTCAATGCACTGTTTTACTGTCGTACATAATACTTGCAATACTTCTGAAGCAACTTAGAATACACTACACCTGCTGAATACACTGACTAGCTTGTAGTATCTTTGGAATAAAGA